AGCTGGGCAGGGCCACATCAGGCGAGTCACCCAGCCATTATCTGCGAGTGACCACATCATGTGGGTGTTGGCTAGAGGTTCCAAACACACTTGAGCAAGTCTGTGAATTATCAGTGAGACTCGGAGAGCCACTAGGATTGCCTGTGGAACACGAAAAGGAAGGAGCGGTGATAAGTTTAATTGGCTCCCGTCACTGGGTGTGGGAGCTTGCTCTGTGAGAAACTCCTGCTCGCCCCCCAGATGCCCACGGTTTGGAGAGTGAGCCTCAGGCGAGCAGTGCAAGCCCCAGGTAAGATGGCACAGCTTGGCCCGTGCACAGCACTGATGAAGAGCCGCTGCAGACTTTGCCAGTGGGTATTGATCAGTCTGTCTAATCCAGGACAGACGATAGATCAATAAATGCTTTTAAAACCAAAAAAAAAAAACAAGTGAAACAAGTGGAAGCTCTTCTTGAAGAGGCCAGGAGTGTCCCCAGGGCCCACATCTGCTCCAGGGGTCCTCTTGGAGTCTGTCTGCACATCCCATTCCCACCATGTCAACAGGCCTGTGACTGAGGACCTAGAGGGCAGACAAGGACAGGACCAGACTCTGCCTCTCAAAGCACTGGGCTTGGTCCACTCCTCTGGCTCCAGCTCCTTATGAGAAAAGACGATGATGCCTTCACTTGAGATTGGAAGTCTTAACGGGTCCACTCTGACCTCTTGCATAGACAGTGTTAAAATCCTGGACATGAGCTGCACCATATGCATTTTTTAAGATGGCGGCCAAGCAGAGAAATGTTGGTAAGTCTTCACACGGCTCCCATGAGTTGCTGCCTCATGGGAAACATTTTTTGTCTCCCTCTGTAATACTCTTATCTACTTTCTCAATTTGTACAATGTGCACACGTACTTTGCTAAATGAGGCGCAGGAATCTGGCCATCCTGCTGGGTTACCCTAGGGCCCAGCATCTGCTGCTGCTTCTCGGCCAAAGGGCAAGGAACCACAGGGCTTTACATCTGAAGACTCATTGGCTCTCGCTCAGCGGACAGTTCATGGCAGCGGCCAGCTTCCAGACTCACCTGTGACCCAGGTGTCAGACAGGGCGTGATCCAGAGCACCATCCTGGCCCCAGTCTTAATGAAATCAGACTTTAAGGCTCAATGTTAACAGGCATCCCCAAAAGGGTTAGGGGGGATAACTATCACCATTCAGTGAGTCATTATGAAGTGATGAAATGCACCCATCCCAGGTAGGGGTGGTTGAACATCCTTAGAAATGGCTTAACATTGGGGATTTGGGGAATGGTCCATTTTACGCCTTCATGAACGTTGATTGCTCTGTCATGATGTGGTCTGGGTCATGATGCTGGCCCTGGACACTGTAGTTATCTTCCCCAAGGTACCAGAGTCTTGTGAGAGGAGGAATCTGAAGAGTGACACATGGGTGTGCCTCCTGGGATTATGGGTGAAAACCAGGCTACCATCTTGAGCAGCATGTTACTGCATCAGATCCCACCAGATCACCACAACCCGCAGCACAGAGGACCCGATGGCTGTCCTAGAGATGACTCTCCAGGGCGCGCTGGTGTGTGCAGGACCAGGCTTCTCTGTGACATGGCAGGGTAGCCTTCAGACCCTGCTGGCACTCACTTGCTGCCTGGCCCATGCTGGGCACAGTGAATGCAGAGATGACCAGAATGAGGCCCCTCCCTTCAGGCCTGCTGGAACCACTGAATCCTTAGGTATCAGAGGGCCCAGCCAGGCTGCCAGACACAGCAAGGAGCTGGGGTACAACCAAGCACCCTGTGGGCTCTTGTCAGCACAGGGAACAAGGGCTCCTAAGTCTTACTCTTGGGACTGGAGTAGGATTTGACCAAAGTCTACATCCTTCCTCTGTAGGAGAAATAATAATAACACCAGAAATAAAAGTAACAACAGCAGAGGTTGTGGGGACAGCGAAGGCCCGGAGCAGACCCACGTGCCAGGAGCCATGCCGACTGCTTTCCAGGAAGGCCTCATGGAATCTTCCAGCAAGGCTGGGAGGTGTAGAGGGTGGGCTGTCTCCAGGAGTGACATGGCCTCCATGCTGGGAGGTGTTAGATTCTGCTGTTTTCCTCACTCGACACTGAAACCCTGTCTCAGAGGGATTCTTGAATTAGCCTAAGAGCATGTTCCTAACCTGAGGCCTTAAAGGCAGCCGTCTGGCCCCCGGGGCAGGTCATTAGCTGCTCGGTGGCCCTGGCCCCAGGGAGGGAACAGTCCTCATTAGCAGAGCCACTGATCCCAAGCCTGAGGACAGGCTCTCTTGGAAATTAGTGCTTACATATTATACTCTTTCAAGAAGAAATCCTAGGGGTAGGGGAGAATGTCCCAAGAGGGAAGGAATTTGGAGAAGAGCAAACTAACCAGCTGCTCTTTTGACAAATCTTACCCTCAATAACAACAGGGAAGCATTTTCCTCTTTTCGAACATTGTTTCCCTGTGACGTGCATCACCTGGGGTGAGCCTTGGCCACACAGTAGCTTTCTACACCTCCAGCTCTTACCTTCCGGAGGTGTTGGTCCACTGTGTTCTAAGACCTGATTGCTGCCTTCCTTCCCTTTGGGGTAGCTGTGGGGGGGACTCTGTCTCTAAGGGCCTCAGCAAAGGGGATCACACAGATCCAGACTTGAAATCGCGGCTCCCTGGTCTGAGAAATGTTCTTGGGATGTTGGTCGCCAACCCCAGCACTCTTGACAGCTTAAACACCTTGTCACTTGGAGAGGAGAAATTGAGATGTCAGAGGACTTTCACCAAATCCCCAGGAGATTAAGGCTGTCTGCGTATTGAAGCAGGAAAAGGTAAACAAAGGGATGTTTTCAACTGATTTTATCTGACACATCTACATTGTCTGGGATTAAGGACATTCTGAGTGTGTGCAATCTCAGAAGCGACCTTGACCTTGAGCGTTCATGCTTCACAGCTGTCACATCATAAGGCCTTGGACCCCTAAAGCCTGCCTTATGCTGCACAGCACCTGTGCCTTCATTCCCTTCTCCAGCCCTCCTGGGGTGGACAGTATGCCCCAGACCCCACAGCTCCTGCCCCTAGCTGGGTGCCAAGGGCAGGGGGATGGGGTGCAGGCCACAAGAGCCACCTAGATCTACCGCAGAGCAGAATGCCTCATCCCCCGGCTCTGCCTGCTCACCCGGGACAGGTGAGCTTCTGTGAGACTCAGCATTGTAGAAAACGTCTACCCCGTTAGCCTCCTCTCAGCTCACCTTAGGTGGTGGCTTTTCTCTGTCCCTCTTGGTGTGCTGCTTCCCCCTGCCCAGGAGCTTGGCCTGGGACAGTCCCCATAAAAGGATCTGGAGGGAATCAGGGCCCCTCTGACCTGTCTGCCTTCCTGACAAGGAAGAAGGTGGGAAAGAAGAAAATACGGAATGCAAGGAAAGGATGGCCCTTGGAGGGGAAGGCAGGAAGCAAGAAGGAAAGAGTGGACAATAGGTGAAAGACTGTGGCCGGGTGCTTGGTGCCACTGTCACTGAGGGTCACCTTATCACACTCTGGTACTTCCTGGTGCAGGTACAGGGCCCACTTCCCCTGTGGGAGTGTACATGAACATAGACATGTGAATACACAAACAGGTACACACACACACACACACACACACAGTGTATCTATCAACATTGCCGTCCCAGAGACAAGCCACGCAACAGGTGGCTTGTCTTGTCCTTCTGTGCTTGGAATGGAGTTCTGCCAGCACACTGTCAATATGAGGAAAGAAAACAGTTACCTCTGGTCAAGTTCAGCCAAGCTGCGTTCTTTACAAAACTGCAGTTCCCATAAATTCAAACCCAGAGTGAAATCCCCGTTTCTGTTATGCTGATGAGGTGTGGCAGGTGCCCCTGACCAGCACGACACAGACCCAGTGAGGCAGAGAGGAAGGTGCGAAGGGCATATTGGGTACAAATGTGAAGAAATAATAGGATGAGAACAGAAAGGAGCCGCCTAAGAGAAAAGCAAAAATCCAGAAAGGCAGCTTCGAGGATGCTCTGGAACTCTGGCTGAGAACAAGAGATGAGAAATACAATGTTCCACACGCAGCCACCTGCCACCTTCTACCTGAGAGGCAATTGCTGGGTTCTCTGGACAAGGCATTAAATATGAAATGACATTGGTATTGTTCTCCACCAAAGAAGGTTATGTTAACAGTTGTTAAAGGCCTGAAGAGTCGGGCGTGGTGGCGCTCACCTGTAATCCTAGCAGCTTTAGGAGGCTGAGGCAGGAGTATCTCGAGTTCAAAGCCAGCCTCCGCCACTTATAGAGGGCCTCAGCAACTTAGCGAGGCCCTGTCTCAAAATAAAATATAAAAAAAGATTGAGGATGTGGCTCAGTGGCTAAGCGTCTCCGGTTTCAATCCCCAGTACCAGAAAAAAAAAAAAAAAAGACAGGAAAACAATAGTGTGTCTATAGCATCCAAACAAATCAGGAATCAGGGAGTGCACGCTGGTCCCAATGATAGCATCCTATTGAAAAAAAATTGTGTCTGTCTATGTGTGTATTTTTATCTCCTTCCAGGAAAGATTCCCTAGGAGGAAGTTAGCTTTAAAATCCACATTGAGGGCTGGGGATGTGGCTCAAGCGGTAGCACGCTCGCCTTGCATGCGTGCGGCCCGGGTTCGATACTCAGCACCACATACCAACAAAGATGTTGTGTCCGCCGAGAACTAAAAAATAAATATTAAAAATTCTCTCTCTCTCTCTCCTCTCTCACTCTCTCTTTAAAAAAAAATCCACATTGACCTTAGAAGGGCAGTTGTATTTAATTTTTTTTGTGTGTGGCTCACACTACAGGAACATAATCTCTCTGAAGCATCTTTAGAAAGAAAACCAAGTCCCCCTTAAGAAAAGTGTCAGTCCCACCCATGTGCTCCCAGACCTCCTGTCCCTGGCCCCTGCCACCTTGCCAGTGCCATACGGTGGGAGAAGCCAAAGGGGGAGCTGCAGAGGGAGTGGGCAGCCTGCTAACCTGTGCCTCTACCCACAGAAAAGAGTCTGCCAGCAGGTCCCGGAGCTGACGGGCAGCCCACGCCACCCTGGATCACCATGGCCCGGCAGAAGCGGCGAGGGCCCCCAGACCAGCCCCTCAACCAGGAAGACAAGCCTGGGGTGCCGATCCTGAAACCAGAAACAGGAAAGCAGACCAAGGCATCCGACAGAGCCCAGGTGCTGAGAGCGAGCGCCTTCTGTTTCTGGGCACTCAGTGGGGAGCAGCTGGGGCCGGGACCGCACATCCCACATGGGCATCCCAGAGACAGGCGGTCACCTGTGATGATTGCCAACGTGTGGTCGAGGGTCAGCAAAGCAAAACCAGTGATGTGCCAGATTGTAGCCTCCGTGGTGGAGCAGTCTGCCTGCTCTGCGCTTGGGCTGGGCTGTTGGGAATGTGGGGAAGCATGTGAATCACTAGGCAGCGGAGACGGCGCTCTGCTCCTGCCTCCTTGGCAACACAGCTCAGCATCTGGAGAAATGGAAAGGAGGTTAAAATAACTTCTTGCTTAGGCACCCAGCGGCAGTGTCAGCATCTCCGGTTCGGTTCTTTGTGTGGTGATGATGAGACTGCACGTGCTGCCCGCGGGGGCTCCCTGTTCTCACCTGGGGCTGCGGGTCTGGAACCCTGGGTTTACTCTCCCTATTGTGGCTGTGTGAAGAAGGAGCCCAGCCTGCTGCAGGACCTCCTTCCCTTCAAACCTCAGTTGTCCTGGATCTGCGTGCAGGCTGAGGGAATTTATAAAAGAAATTAACCAGCCTGGAGCGCGTGGGTTCATACCGAGTGTCGTAAAAGTCACACGACTGTTTTCAAACCCAGTTCGGGTTGAGTTTGGCATGGAACCCTGCCATGCAGCATCTGGGCCTGCGGCTGCATATTGGGGACAGGGAAGATGCCACGATGCGCATGCGGGCTGGGGTCACTCTGGGCACTAGCGGGAGCTCCAGCGTTCTGATGCTGGACATCAGAGAGTTGTCAAGAGCCAGTGGCACAGCGCATCTCTGGAGAGACGCCTCGCAAGCTCACTCTCTTGGGCTGTGTTTCTCCCTCTCTGAGTCCATTCAGCTGGACATTGTGTCCCTTTCTTGTCTCACCCTAGGAGCCCGTGAAGCAAGCCGACTTTGTCCGCAGCAAGTCTTTCCTGGTGACCCCTGCTAAGCCCACTGTGACCCAGAGGCAGGGGGCAAAGCTCAGTCTCAAGGAAGGTCTGCAACGAGGAATCTCGCTGTCCCATCAGAACCTGGGTATGAGATCCGCACGCGGATCCTGAACACGGCCATTGTCATCCTAGAGGGCTCCTGAAGTTTGGGCCTGCCCTGTCGAATTTCTTGCCATGTTGAGTTTTTTCATGCAGCTTTTATCAAGATGTAATACACACTCCAGGAAGCTTGCCCATTCCTGGGGTGCCATTCAGTGAGGATGTCTTTAGAGTGGGCCACCCTCACAGAAACCCAGACATCCCTCACGTTCTAAAGAAAGCTCATGTCTGTTTGCAGCCTCTCTCCACTCCCATCCCCAGTGAGCAGGCAATCACTGATCTTTTTTTTTTTTTTTTTTTTTTTTTGGTTTCCATAGACTTACCTTTGGGGAACATTTCTTATAAAACAGAATCATAAAAGATGTGCCCCTTTACACCAACCTTCTTTCATGGGGCATAGTGCTTTTGAGTTTCATCTCTGTTACATGGATCCATATTCTTTTTTTTTTTTTTTTTCATGGTGCTGGAGGTTGAACCCAGGGCCTCGTGCATCCAAACACACACTGCACCACTGAACCACACCTCAGCCCCAGTATTTCTTAAATCTTATTTCTTTGCAATAAAAGTTGTATAACAAGAGTTGTGTGCAGTGACACATGGCTGTAATCCCAGCCGCTCGGGAGGCCGAAGCAGGAGGATAGAGAATTCAAGGCCAGCCTCAGCAACTTAGTGAGAGGCCCTCAGCAACTCAGCGAGACCCTGCCTCTAAAAAAATACTTTTAAATAAGAGTTGGGGATGTGGCTTAGTGGTTAAGTGCCTCTGGGTTCAATCCCTGGTACCAAAGCCGGGGGAAAAAAAAACGAAGTCATAACCACAAGAAATTTACCTTCCTAACCATCTTTGAGGGGGTGTGTGTACCATGTCATGTGTGCAGCCTCCTCCATCTTTCCTACAGTCTTGCTCTAAACATTTTTCTGGCTTTGCTGTGTGGCCAGGACTGTTTAAATCTGCTTCTAAGCCTTTTTATCGCATAAATTACACGTTCTACGCCTGCATCGTCTTCACACGTTTACGTATTAATGAATTTCGTGTTTGGGAACACAGCTAAGACTTTGGCATGTATTTAAGGAAATGCAAAAGGCTGAAATGAAAACTCACACTCCCCTCTCGGGTTTCTGTTTATTTTTCTCCTTTCCAGCGGCTCAGTCTGCGGTGATGACGGAGAAGGAGTTGCATCAGCTGAAGAGAGCCAGTTATGCTAGTGCAGATCAGCCTTCCTGGATGGAACTTGCCAGAAAGAAATCTCAAGCATGGAGCGACATGCCCCAAATCATAAAATAGATCAGTGGCGTGCCGATGGCAAACGTCCACTATCTTGACAGGCCACTTAGTTTAAAACTGCCGATAAATTGTGGCCAACAGACTGTGAAACTCTAGATTGATTTTATCACCACGTCGTGACCAACCCCTTGGAAGGGGAAGAAGCCAGGCTCAACAAAGAGGACAGCCATAATCCCGGGCTGGAGGGGCCCCCAACAAGAGCAACATGGAAGAAGTCCAGGAACCAGCTCCTGTGCCCAGAGGTATGAATGCGAGCCTTTTAGAACTCCCTTGGTAAAGAGGCCTCAGACACGGCAAGCCCAGGACAGAAGCCATCCCAGGAGCCGGTGTGACACCTCCCCTGAGACCAGCCGTGTCTCCCGCCACCGTCTCACCTGTGGACTGTCTCCTTCTGTGTCACCACCAGGCATGACATGTATGGTAAAACAGGGACACCATTTCCAAGAGCAGCTATAAGACAACCTGATTTTGTGAAGACAGCCCGTCTGAGAAGGAGAGAAAGGGACATAGCAGGGTTCGCGATTCATAGACTGTTTCCAAAAAGTGAATTTTTAAACTTTTCCACTAGGCATCTGTGTCCTTGACCGTTGCACAATTCATTGCCTGTTTAATAAAAGGTCTCAAAGACGCCCTCTGTCGCGTATGGGAATGTTATTTCTGCTCACAGGGAGCATCCTCCAACACGGAGGTAAATGCAACACAAGGCCTCTCCCTTCCTCCATTTAGCCTCCCAACCGGGTTGGTTGGGGAATTTGATGTTTTTTTGAATTTGTTCTCAGCCCCCCCCCCAACAAAAATTATGGTGTTCATTTTTAGAAGCCAGAAGATGACGTAAGCTTTTCTCGTCTCATCTCTGTGGTAGACCACAGTAAAATGTAAAAATTTCTTGAGAAGTTATCATTCATTAGCATCTGATTCCTCTAACCTGCACATTTCTATTAGAAACTGGGTTATCAGTGTGTTAGAGATTAGGAACCATGAATGTACAACGTGGAAAAGCCAGACGGAATCTTAGAATTGTGTCTTGGTGGTTATATAATCACTCTTTTTTTTTTTTTTTAAATGGAATATCACTATGTTGCCCGGGGCTGCCTCATACCCCTGCCTCAAGTGAACTTCATTTTTACTCAGTCTCCCAAGTAGCCGGGACTACAGGCAAATGCCACTGTACCTGGCTCTTTTTGAAAACAGTTCCAACAAGTTTCTTGGAACAAGCCAATCTCCTTGGGAATTTGTACAGCTGGAATCAGAATTGTAAGATCCCATGACATATTGTAATTTGATTTTATGTATCTTAAGGGCTACTACCTTTATTGTATCCTTCATTTTCATGAAAATTATTTTTCTAGCTGTTAGTACTACATGACTTCATGGAGTCTAACTTTAGTGAAAAAGTCCCGGGACAGTTTTTTTTTTTTTTCCCCCAATCAGATTGATTTATTAATTGCATTCTCTTAGAGGATATCAATACTGAATTCCGTGGTGAATAGGCTCCACACAAGAGCTCCATCTAGCTAGCTTTGCTCCAAAAGCTTAGCATGAATATTTTTTAAAATATTTTTAGTTGTAGATGGACACAATACCTGCATCTTATTTATTTATTTTTATGTGGTGCTGAGGATCAAACCCAGTGCCTCACACGTGCTAGGCAAACGTTCTACCACTGAGCTACAACCCCAGCCCTTAACATGAATATTTTTAACTGGAAAAAACAAATGAAAATCATGTTGGCTATGATTACCCCAAAATATCATTTCTCCTGTTAGCAGAACATTTCAGGTAAGCCATTTTGAGGCAATAGACTTCACTGTAAGATCGAAAGTATTTGGTTCCGTTTTGTTCAGACAGAAGTTCCTACCCTCTGTGTGTTCCAGGATGTGGTTTAATTTTTCAGGTGCCTGGTGAGTTAGAAGGGTGCAGCTTTTTAGGACCCTAGGAGAATTCACGGAGGGGTGGACTGCAGCTGCTACCACCCTCTGCATGGAGGTAGACATTCTTCTGCAGTAACAAGAGGGGCTAAGACAGGAGCCAAGTCTTGGGGATGACTGGAAGTCAGAAGAGGCATCAGAGATGGTAAAGACCTGCTAGGACTTACCAGCCTTGGTTTTCCTAAGAAGAAAGATGAGGCAGGCACTGCTCTGGGTGCTCATGGGTCCTCTTCAGAACCCTTTCACAATCCTTCGTGGATCAACGCTCACCTCCACATTGGAGCTGAGAAAACCAGGCACATTGAGGTTCAGGTCATGGTCCAAGATCCCACAGCAGGCAAGCCCCCGGAAAGTGAGGCCAGGCCCCACGCTTCCCAACTCTGCCCTCGAGGGATGTCCCTATCTCTGAAAAGCGCTGGGTGCCAAGGCAGATCTGTGTCCTCAAAGACAGTATAGACAAGGGAGCTCTGACCTTGACCTTGAGGGCGCCTCTGTCCAGGGAACAGAGTGAACCTCATGTTGCCTGCCTAGTTGATCACCTTCACCCTGGTCTTCCGTTTCCTCAGAAGAGCTGGGGAAAGTGCACGGGGTTTTCTGTTTCGTGGTTTTTTAATCACAAGCACCTTCCTGGACTATGTGGCACTTGCTTCCAAAATTCATTCCTCCATTTCATGCAGTTCATAGCTGTGTGGAGGCAATCTGCGGGGGTCCGGGGACATCCCCCAACTAATAGGTTAATCCTGTGTCACACCCATGTCATTTGGCAGGGGACACAATGAATAAACACTCAGTATAAAAGAATCAACAGGGCTGGGGTTGTGGCTCAGCGGTAGAGTGCTTGCCTAGCACGAGCGAGGCCCTGTGTTCGATCCTCAGCACTACATAAAAATAAATAAGTAAACTTAAGGTACTGTGTCCAACTACAACTAAAAAAAGTATTTTTTTTAAATCAGCAAAAAGCAGAAGTATGTGAAATAATGAGCCTAAAACGAAAGTACTTGTTAGTGCAGAACACCTCCTCGAGACTGGGTGGTCAGGAAAGGGTCTGCAGAGGCAGTGGCCTGATTATAACATCGATGGTGGCTTCCTGGCTGGGTGGAGGTGGAAGGAAGCGGATGGACTCAAAAACATATTTTAAAGGCATTGTAGCTGGGTGCACGTCTATAATCCCAGCAGCTCAGGGAGCTGAGACAGGAGGATTGCAAGTTCAAGGCCAGCCTCAGCAACTTAGTGAGGCCCTAAGCACCTTAGTGAGACCCTGTCTCAAAATAAAAAACTAAGCTGGGGATGTGGCTCAGCAGTACAGCGCTCACCTAGCACATGCGAGGTGCTGGGTTTGATCCTCAGCACCACATAAAAATAAATAAAATAAAGGAATTGTGTCCAACTACAACTAAATATAAATAAATAAAAAGGGCTGGGATGAGAGCATGTGGATCTTGGCCCCAGCTCCTGGGTAAGTGAGGATATGACTTACTCAAAGAGCGAAAGAAGGTGAAATCCATGGGAAGGAGTCCATCTTAAACTGAGAATCCTGTTAAGCATCTGACTGGAAATACCAAGTAGGCAGATAATGAGAATTATCATTATTTAGATGGGATAGAAGTTCAGGGTCTGGAAGAGGAAGAAGAGGGTACCAGGACTGCCTGCCCCTAGGCTGCTCCAGCACAGGCGGTCTAGAGAGAGGGTCCACAGGAAGGGTCTATGGAGCAAGAGAAAGAGCAGGTAAGTGCCAGGAAGAGGCGGTGCTGGGGGAAGGGAGTAGGCGGTTGTAGGTTGGGGTTTGCTGAGACGGGATCAGGCAGATAGATCAAGTGTGGCCTGGACTCTGGGCACTCAGAAACCGTGACCTTGGCAAGAGCCCTTGGGGCAGAGTATAGGTAAAATAGGCAGAAGCTGCAAATCAGCTGAAACGGACTTCCAAGAAATTTTATGTGACAAAGGGGAATGAAGGGAAGGGAGAGGGGACGGGAGCAGGAAAGACAGAAGGAATCGGACAGAACTTTCCCGTGTGCATATAGGAACACGGACCAGGGTAACGCCACCTCATGTTCAGCCACAAGAATGGGATCCTAATTAGAATAAGTTATGCTCCATGTGTGTACAATATGCCAAAATATACTCCACTGTCATGTATACATAAAAAAAGAACAAATAAAATAAAGTCTAGGGCTGGGGCTGTAGCTCAGCGGCAAAGCACTTGCCTCGCACGTGTGAGGCACCGGGTTTGATCCTCGGCACCACATAAAAATAAATGAAGATACTGTGTGTTCATCTACAACGAAAAAATATATATATTTTTAAAAATTTTTCCAAAAATGTTGCAATAAAAAAAGGAGATTTTGTGTGAATGAGAACAGAAGTGATGGGAGTCTCTGGTGGGCTCTGGCCCACAGAGTTGTGTTTATTTGTTAGAAGGAACAAAACACTGTGGACCACAGAGAGGATTTATATGTAGGTGGGAATAAACTCACGGCAGAGAAGAGAAATAGTCTGAGGTTGGTCTTTGCAAGCACAGGTCACCCTCCAGAGATTCAGACCAGGGTGAAAAGCCCTCACTATAGACTGCTCTCCTTGCTCCTGGAACCAGGAGCCCGACATTTTGATCCAGCTGACAAGGGAGGACCCACTGCGATGACAACCTGGTGATTTGCTTTCCCGGCCTGACAATTTGGCGTGAGTAATAGTGCTGAAGGAAAAAAAAAATATATATATATATATATATATTTATACATTTATATTCTAAATATATATATATATATTCTAAATATATATATATATATATTCTAATTACTTAGATGCAACAGTAGTATGCATTTTGACCCCTCATATATAAACTGAGTACAACTTCTCATTCGTCTGGTTGTGCAGGATGTGAGTTACACAGGTCGTGTAATCATATATGCACATAGGGTAATAATGTCTGATTCATTCTACTTCATTCCTACCCCCACTCCCCTCCCTTCACTACCCCTCTGTCTAGTCCAGATTACCTCTATTCTTCCCCCTCCCCCTTATTGTGAATTAGCATCTGCATATCAGAGAAAACATTCGGCCTTTGGTGCTTTAGGATTGGTTTGTTTCACTTAGCATGAGAGTTTCCAGTTCCATCCATTTACCGTCAAATGCCATAACTTCAGTCTTCTTTAAGGCTGAGTAATATTCCATTGTGTATAGATACCACATTATCTTTATTCATTCATCTGTTGAGGGCCACCTAGGTTGGTTCCATAGTTTAGCTATTGTGAATTGAGCTGCCATGAACATTGATGTGGCTGTGTCCCTGTAGTCTGCTGATTTAAGTCCTTTGGGTACAGACCTAGGAGTGGGATGACTGGGTCAAGTGGCGGTTCCAGTGCTAAGTTTTCATACCAGGGAGAATGATAAAGGGAATATGGAGCTCTGGATGGCCCATGACACGCTTACTGGGTGTATGGTCTGTCCCCCAGTGTTCCCCTTTCACCGTGAAGATCTATGTAAAATCCACTTAGATGACAGCAGATCCTATGCTTGGGACAATCCAGAGTTTTCCCCATGATTCCTGGGCCTTCCTTTCCCACAGCCCCCTTTGCACCTGAGAGCTGTGTGTCCTTGACTGTGACTCTCTTTCCCCAGAATGTGGGCCCTTCCACGTCAGCAGAATTCTGTGCCCAGATGGCCTTCTTTGTCTTTGTCAAACCTATGAAACATTTGGGTGTGGAGTC